CCCCAAAACCCCAAAACCCCAAAACCCCAAAACCCCAAAGAGGGCACAGTAATTGAAGTGTAACTGTAAAGTGAGTAAAAAGGTAATTGGAACATAAAAAATTGGATCATTTTTGAAAATATTCGAAAATGGAGATTACCTTTTCTGAAAGTTTTAATGCTTTGTATGAAGAGCTTATATTTAATTTTGTATAATTGGGACAGAGTTTAGAAAGAGTAGGGTGAATTTAGGAAGATTAAGGGGATTTTGGCATAAAAATTCATGTGAAAATACTTCGAAAATTATCTACCCTCATTGAAATCTCAAACCTCAGGAAGTCTTTTTCCTTGAGATGAGACAACTGCTAGCTTTGCTTTGTTTATGGGATGCAAAAATACAATTTTTGTAGTAACTTGCATTGTCCTATCCTGTTTTTGAACAATGATTACTGAATTCGAAGTCATGAAACAATTGAATCATGACTTTGCAATATTATTTTGCCGTGTAGGAGATAACAAAGAGACAAGAGCATTCATAAAATAACTATAAGCTCAACTACACTATCTTAGCCACATATCTAGACTACCAAATATCAGAAATGTGTCAAAACCCTCACGGTGACATCACTGGGTTTCTCTGTTTTGATCTTTCAGCCTGTTTCTAAGACAGTTTCAATTTCTAAATCCTCAAAATTTACTATCGTTATTCAAAACTCAACAAAAACCTGAAAGAAGTTTTAAAACTGATACTTTTAGTGCCCAAGTCTCCTGCTTGAAGTGGTCGTGAAGGACATATTATTACAATTTGTACAACCAATAAGAATCTTCCAGCGTGTGTCCTAGTGCTCAGAACCGCCAGAACCGAGGGTAAACCACTTGCTTATCTATCCAAAATTATGAAGAATTCTTACTCAGAGTTCGTCTGCAAATACTTGATAATAGAATATTGAATTTGTTTCCTAATGTTTACTAAATCAGCTCTCTTATTAAGCCATGCATTGTTGGGGCTCTGTCAAATGTTCTTGAGTAAAATGCCATAGGAATTTTAGCTAATAGAGGCTTTCTCCCTCTTTTAAGGAAAATATTTGTGTTGGCTTAGAGCCATCCTTTAATAATAAGCTGTAATAGTGATGAAGAAGACTCAGAGGTAGGTGGAGAGGTAATAGAGGTTTTTAAGAAGACCATAAGTTGACTGAGGAGAACCAGGACAGATATTTTAGCGATAGGTCTTGGAGCTGAGATTTAGAGAAGAAAGTTTTAGAATTTTATTGGTGATTGTAGACGAAGGTAGGGCAAGATGGTGTCGATAGGCAATGTGGTCTTAAGGAAGAGGATAAGCGAGATAAAAGGATCTATTGCTCATTTTATGGTTATAATGTTAGAAGGATGTTCTGAATGATGATATCTGAGATTTTCAAATCCAAAATTTTACTGAGGTTGATATATTAATCAATCTCAGTAATTCAGGTAGTATTTATCTCCTACATATCATACGAAACTCAAAATTATAAGAATCCTATTCTGGTTGCTCATTTTATCAAATCATTAAAAATTTCTCTTCTACCCATTATTTCTCTATAATCTTACTAAACAGACCCTAACTATAGCCAAACCACCCTCTCCTCCTCCCAAAACACCACTCCACACCCTCACCACCCACTCCTCACCCTCAACACCCTCAAAACCCCCTCTCTCCTCATACAGCCAAGTGTAACCGCCCAAAATCCCCCAAGCCCCTCACTTGTCCACTCAGAGTCTCATTTTCCCCGAAGAAAGCGCCAAGCTATTCACAAAGAGTAGCTTCACTGGGCCAGGTCTGAATGGAAGCTTAAGAAGAGAGAAAGGGTGCGGCCAGGGATGGGTCTGGGCAAGAGGGGATGGGAGTGTGTAGAGAGTGGCTTGTTAGGGCTTTTTTGGGGGGTATTGAGTGGGATTTATAGGGAAGGTAGCATAATTTAGATGAAAATTGTTTTTGAGGAAATTGGGTGATTAATATTGAGTTTTGGGAAAGATATCTAAAAATATAAAACTAAAAGCTCAAATAATTTATCGTTAGAAAGATTTTATGAAATAAAGGGAATGTATATTATGTCATACTCATATATCTTCAGGAACATTCGCCTCATACCTCTCTTGGAGGTACCCAAAGTTCCAGCAGCGAGCTATATGATAGAGGAAATGAAAATATCTAACCTTTTAATTATCGCAAATCTTTGGCAAATCAAATTCACCGAATTTCTACAAAAATTCTAGAGATACAGCAGGGAATGCTTTAATGTACAGCTTAAAATTTTACCTTCAAAGAGGAGTTTCCTATTAGCCTCTAAAGCTCTAATAATGTATTTTTATTGAAACACGACTAATATATCCAGGAGTTTTGTTTCGGAAGTAGCTCACCATAAAATTTTGTACAAACATTTTTGGGTTTCAAAAGAAATGAGAACAAAGAATCTATGAATTATCGATATCAAAATTAGACCCTAAATTATTTTTTGTAATTATATTAATGAAGCTTTAGCCTCGTATCCTGCTTATTAACCCAGATGAGAAGTTTTCATCAGGATGAATTACCTTCGATGCTACATGAGTTTGAATTATTCAAGTTTTCGGAACTTCAGATAGCTTAAAAGTGAGAAAATGCTCATACAAGCTCCCTACTATTAGACAATTGTAGGAATTTTATTTAAAGCTATCAGCATCATTCTGTGATAATATATTTTTCTTCGGTCACAAAATCTCTGGAAGACAGTTTCATAAAATATTCCAAATAAAATGGTCGAAGGTATGCCGAAAGTACACCAAATAACATGATAATATCTCTTCGAATGAAGGATACAAGAATCACCGGATTGGAAAAGACTTATGATACTTCTGCTAACACTCTGGGTCTATAATGATACTTTTAGCACAAGAGTTTTGTACAAATGATCCGAATTATTTCCATCTTTGAATTCAGGGATATGTTTATTATATCAAGAAAAACTCGACTGATGTCCAATTCAGATGTATAAGTTTCCCAATAAATTGCCGATTGAAGAATTCATATCGAGAATTATTTCAGCTTGATGGATTTTGAAATAAACACAGGACGAAGATTTAATATTTTCCAATTGCTTTGTTGGCACAGAAAGTTATAGAGAGAAGTCAGTCCCAAGATAGCAAAGATGTGAATAACTTAAGAAATTTTAAATAGTTTTGAATAATTTCGAGGGATAATCTCGATGAAAAATGACATTAATAATATTGAGATTTCTAAATCAGATGAGAGTGTAGGGATAAAGCTGATGGAAGTTTTATGAAAATTCTTCCTAATTTGTAAACTTTTAGTAAAAACCCATGAAGATTATGAAAGATAGCAAAAGTGAGGATTTATTCAGATTTTACAATAAAATTATTCATGATGCCTTTGAACAAATTCACCAAGTTTTCTGAAGAATCAAACAAGGCGAATTCCCTTCTCCTGAATAGGATTCTCCAGGCCACCAAATGAAGCTCTTCGTGGCTGCTTGAAGCATTGGTCTGGTGCTTAGTTCAACTCTTCAACAAAGATGCTGACTTTAGGGTCATCGAGTTCTTGGATCATATGCCTTGCTAGAGTCTTTAGATTCTCAGATCCCAAAGCCTTGTTGAATCTGATTCTGGAGAACTGTTTTGTTCACCTTTGGAAGGATGCAATCTGGTCTTTTACCTCTGAATGGCATGGCAATTCAGCTGCTTTCTTAATGCCAATGATGCCGATGGTGTAGTAGACGAGGTCTTCAGTCAAGTGTTCATCAGTAATCTTTTCAGACAGCATGTCATGGACTCCTTTATAGATTTCTTCAATTGAACACTTTTGATATGTTTTCTGAACTATCTCTGGGTTTTGAGACTTAAAGGAGTTTCTGTAGAACCTTCTAAGAAGTCTGATTGCTCCTTTATAAGATACATCTTTTCTTCTGAAAGCCTTCGTATCTTTGATAGAGCTGTTTTGATGAGTAGAAGCTTCATCAGATTTGGCTTCTCCTCCAGAAGTACTATCTGACTGCTTGATATTCTCGGGCTTCCTTTGCTGACCATTGAATTCACCCAAATCATTGACATAGCAGGCTTCGTTATCTGCTCCTTGTCTGAAAGGATCAGAGTCAAACATGAATCTGTCAGATGGAGACTGAGGGAAGCATTCTGGATAATTGAACAGAGAGAACACCTAAATTCATATTAGACATGTACTTGTCAGACAAATAAATTACAGCTGCTGTAAACAGGGATAATTATGGTACTTTGGGCTCATGCGAAATTGGTGAACAAGTTTTTGGAAAGTAAGGATATGGACTTACATCTTCATCCCCAACATTGTGGTTGCTGGCAAAAATGTTTCCAGAGTATAAATACGAAGAATCGTTGATATCGCAAAGTTGGATATAGCTAGGATTAGAACTCATTACTTTATTATTTATTATTAATATTTGAACCTGTTTATCAATGCTTGCAGTGCCATGGGGTTTTGGGGTTTTGGGGTTTTGGGGTTTTGGGGTTTAATTATTTTGGATGGAGGGGTTTTGGGGTTTTGGGGTTTTGGGG